TGTTGATTGGTTTAATGTAACTGTGTTAGATTGTATAAAAAAAATCAGCACATTGTACCCCACATATGCATGAATGTATTCATGATCTATGTGTATTTGACTTAATAAAATTAAAAAAATAAATAAAACTAATGCAGCATAGCCAGAAGAGGAACCATCAGTAAAGGCAAGATCTGCATAAGGAACTGGGACAGCAGAACAAAGGTGAGAAAAAATCAAAGGGTGCTGGCATAAAAATGAAAGTAACTTAGATCCAGGGTAATGACAAGTAATCTGACTGGTAAAACTGGCAAAAGTTGTCAAGCAGCATTAAACTGCTGTAATCGATTCTGCTTGTGTTGCAGTATAAGGAACTATAATAAAATGAGGCTCCATCCTGCACAGTTGTTGCACATGTGTGCGGGCAGCTGTGATGATTTGAGCAACTAAATCAGGATAAGGGCACAGGGTATGGCGTTGAGAAGATGGCAAATGCATCCATTCAATATGGACTTTCTGACAGAACACACTGGTAGGAAATGAAGAAGTATCCAAAACTATAAACGTTAAAGGAGAAGCATAATTAATTTGAGTAATCTGAGCCTATTTTAGGGCCTGCTCCACTAGCATTAGGGCAGCACGTGCTGAAAAGGTGAAAGAACAGGAAGAAGTGGCAGGAGGAGGCCCCCATAAAATGTCAAATAAAGGAAGTAATTCATGAGTGGTAATATGGAATGATGGGCATAGCCAGTTAATGTCACCTAAAAGTTTTTGAAAATCATTCAAAGTCTGCAGACAGGAGGTATCCGACACAAGGCATTGAGGCTGCACAGTACTTCAGAAAACTTTCATGCCCAAGTAATCCAAGGGATAAGTCTGTTGAATTTTTTCAGGGGCTACAACCAAATTATGCTGAGCAAAATGACAAGTTAAATGACTCAGCATATTATCTAAAATGACGTGGGAAGGATGAGACAAAAGAATGTTATCCATGTAGTGAATACAGCAAACCTGTAGATAACTGCTGCTGAAGGAGGGAAATAATTTGAACTACAAATTTCTGGCAAAGAGTGGGACTGTTAGCCATTCCCTGAGGCAAAACACGCCACTGAAACCGAAGCATAGGCTATTGAAAATTAACAAGTGGGAGGCTAAAAGGAAAATGCCAGCAATTCTGGGGCACAGGAGGAATAGTTAAAAAAAAAATCCTTAAGATCAATTATATAAGCAGGCCAAGAATTAGGACAGCAACAGAGGATGGTAATCCAGGCTGCAAAGCTCTCATAATTTTCATAGTAGCATTAACTGTGCAGAGATCCTGTAGTAGCCTTCATTTTCCTGACTTTCTGAATCACAAAAATTGGAGTATTCCAAGGGCTACTAGAGGGCTCAATATGACCAAGGCCCAACTGCTCTTGTACCAAAGTCTTAGCTGCTTGAAGCTTTTCTTGATTCAAAGGCCACTGATCTATCCAGACTGGGCCAGATGTTTTCCATATAATAGGATCTGCAGTCAGGGGAGCAGTCGAAGTCAGTGGCCTGAAGAAAAAGGCTCAAAACTGAGGCCCTGTAGCTGGGCTGTGGTTGTGGCTGCAAATGCTGGGTTATTCCTTGAGCATGTGTACCCAACCCTGATAGGGGATTAAAACCTTGTTTAAACATCAAATTAGATACAGTTTCATTTGGGCTGACAAGCAGTACTCCCAATTGTTTGAGAACACCCCTCCCCCATAAATTGCATGGAAGGTGTTCCAGCACAAAAGGTTGGAAAGTATCAGAATTACCTTCGAGGTCATTCCAAGTAAGGAGGGCTGAACTTTGAAGGGGATTTTGACTCATACCTATTTCTTGCAACTGAGTCATGGATGGGGTCAAACTCTAGGCTAAAGACTAATGTTTCTTTGACATGACTGAAATATTTGCCCCAGTATCAAGGATACCTAGGAAAGGATGGCCTTGAATAGTAAGCGTGAGTTGAGGGCATTTCTGAGAAATAGCTCGACCCAATAGGCATCACAGGCCCCGAAGCCCTCAGATCCTCTGCTCCCTCC